TTCTGCAGCGGCGGCGAATGAAAGCTGGTTGGGGCTTTTTGGGCCAAAGATGTGGAGAAGGACAACGGTGGGGTTGTTTGCGCAGATTTGGCAGCAGTTGTTGGGTGGGAATGTTATGATGTATTACATTGTTTATGTTTTCCAGATGGCCGGGTTGACGGGGAATGTCAACTTGGTTAGTAGCTCGATACAGTATGTTATTTTCTTACTTACTACGGTAGTAACGCTGGCAGGGATTGATAGGGTCGGGAGGAGGCCGTTGTTTGTTTATGGGGGTATCGTTATGGGCGCACTCAACTTTGCGGTGGCGGGGCTTATGGCAAACTATGGGCATGCGGTTGATGGGGTCGATGGGAATGCGAATGTGGTTTGGCAGGTCACCGGGGCACCCGCAAAGGGAGTCATTGCGTGTACTTATATCTTTGTGGGGGTTTATGGGTTGACTTGGGCGCCTTGTGTAAGTTGTCTCCTTTCCCCTCTTCTTGATCATCTTCTTATCAGGGTGATGCTAACTTAAGGAATAGACTTGGATTTACGTCTCCGAAATCTTCCCTCTGAAATACCGCGCCAAGGGAGTCGGATTGGCGACTTCTGCAAACTGGGCCTTCAACTTCGCACTCGCCTACTTTGTTCCCCCGGCCTTTAAGAATATCCAATGGCGGGCGTATCTCATCTTTGGAGTTTTCTGCTTTTGTGGTGTGGTACATAGTTTCTTTATGTTCCCGGAGACTTGCGGAAAGACACTCGAGGAGGTAGATGCGCTTTTCGAGGATGGAGTGCCGGCTTGGAAGAGTGATAAGACTGTGAGTAGAATGGATGAGAGGGTGCATGAGATTGAGGCGAAGGGAGAGGCGGGGGTGGTGCAGACGGAGAGAGTGCATGAGAAGTCGGAAGCATAGGAGGGAAGGGACTGAAGGTTAATGATACAAAGGAATGGTGACGATTTGTCTGGTTGTTAATTAGTTGCTTATGAGCGTACAATATTGCAGCGACTGACCTTTTTGTATTGAAAACATTCTGTGGTGAATGACAAAAATAAAGGCTCGTTAACTCGAATTGCCATCAAGCTTGGTTCTCGGCTCGTAAGTATCATGATAAGTGACAATTCTATTCCTTGCCCCAGTTATCACTGCTATTCACTTTCACAACCAGCGGCTGAGTCAATCCCTGTTCTACAAGTTAATGAGAATAAAACAAATATAGTAAGCATAGGAGAGAAGCTGTGGGCTGAAGATAAAAGTCGCAGAGTTCACGATAGATGATAAAATGTAAAGAGGGAGAGTCCAACTTAATTATGGCTTTATTTCTTTAGGTCTTTCTTAAACAGCACCGAAAAACTCTAATTCACCGCCTTCATTATATGATGTAATCAAAAATCACCGCCTTCATCAGTGATCACCATTAAAGTCACGCTCTGAATCACCATCTATCACTGTCTGAGTAAACGAGTCTATCTCGCCGGGACCCGGGTTCATCTGGATTGTTATATTTCATTTGGTCCCAGCTGTTTATCCATCTCAGGCAGCCTAAGGCAGGCCAGATCGAGGCCCTAGACGGTTCGAAATACACTGTCCCCTCCGTTCCGTGCGAGTGTACTTTACTGTAAACATTTGATTGAAATTTCCAGTCACTAGCCGTTTATTCTCAAATCCCAGAGTACTAAAATCATTATTATCTATATAGTACAGTAACCAAGGTTTTGAAAGCTTTTATTATGCACATTGAAGCCCTTCTTCTCCTTTGAAAATTCCCTCAACTCATTCACAATCCCGTGAAAGATCGATCACCAACATTCCTCTGTAGGCCAGTACCGATAACTAAAGGTGAGCATCGCCTGGTACATTTATCTAAACTATAAGATGCTTTCAGAAAGTTAAGAACCCAACCCAAGCGGCACAGCCGCTTGATAGACCAGGCGCAACCTCAAACCACTCGGGTGGCTCCCCATGCTTCGACCTCAACCCCCGCACGACTCGAACCAGTCATGTGACTTTCCATAATTCAAACCCCGAACGCGTCTCCGGCATTTGAACCCCCGCTACACACCCGTTCCTTACCATATCATCCCACCCGCACCTCTCCCTTATTCCTCACCAACGACTCACACAAGTAAGCCTACCAAGGCATCGCATCAACGTCACCGATGAGTTCATAAAGTAAGTTCCTCGATCGAGCGATTCCAAGGATACCCGCTTCTACACATGAAGTTCAACGCTCTAATTACTACATAGATACTTATTTTGCACGCGTGTCAACTAAATACTAAACCAACGATTCCAACTAAGTTTTCCATCACGCTGATTACGATATGTATATCAGGGACTGTTGAAGTATTCCAAAGGGCCTTCTGCAAAGCTCTGCAAAGCAGACTTTGAAGACATTCAAGTTGGACTAAGAGCAACCCATCCAATAGTCGAACGTGCCTGCGGAAGAGCAAGCACATGCCATCCGCAGCCTGGTTGTGGATGGGCCTGGAGTGGAGACACGGACATTGCAAGAGGTGAAGAATGGAGAACGGACGAGATTGTGGCTCGCGGTATGGATGAATTATACGTTTGTGTGAGGTCGAAACGCGCCGGGTACCTGCTTGTTGAGATACTCAATCAGCAGTATGATGGAGAAGACGCAATGGTACTGGCACTGCTGTGGAGATAGGGATCAGAAGATCGTGGAGGAGTCGGCGTTGATGAGGATTCCGAAGCGGAATGACGACAAGGCGGAAGGGTGCAAGTTGGATAAGTAACCAGGTGTCTGAAAAGAAGCGGCATCTATTTTATCTGCTTTTTTCTCACTTCAAATCCCGTTGAACCCCCCGTGATATCATATATGCTTTTTTAATTTACTCTCTCGTAGTTGATAAATACCATCTTTGATTGCATCCAGTCTATCTTGAGCTTTCTTGGCAATTTTCAACTGAGAAGAACGGTTGATAACAACACCCACAACCTGTAGATAACCAGTCGTGTCCGCAGGGACAAATCAGAGATGACGTTACGTGATGCTCAGAGAGGAATTGTTTGACTCGCTCCGTCCAATAGAACTTCGCTATGTCTAGACTGAGAGATGCAAGGCGATTTTCATGCCAACTTTTTGGCACCAAGATATAAGATCAGGTGAACACTATTAAGTAGAAAGGGTAAGGTACTCATCCCGAGTGATAGCAAGAGCATCAATCGAAATGCACCGATTAACGGCGCCCTTTTAGGGGACCTGAAGAAAGCATCATACATTGGTTTGGCTTTCTTCGAGCGGTATTTTCTGTGGCAGAAAGATGCATCCACACGTGGGTTATGAGAGCGCGCGATCCGCAGCCCTTACCCACCATCTTATCTTATCTTTTAGCATCAAAAACATTCGCATTAACCGCTTCAAAGTCGACGGTCATGCAGGGATCAGGGTCTCCTCCAAATCTAGTAACTTTCTCTCTCATACTTTTATAAGCCTTTCCCGCTTATTATCCAGAATGTTTGTAGATAACCACAAACTTTGTTCGCTTCAACCAAATCGGTATGCAAGACTAAGCATTGTGCATCTCCTGGTAGCTGATAATGTACATTCCTTCAACTCAGTCTCCAAAAGCATCACATCCGATCGAGCCAACCGCCAAAGAGCATGTGGAAAGGATAGACTGTGTGATCGAACGAGATTGATTCCAATCAACGCGTCACTCATAGAGCGACCCGTACGGCTCCATTGATCTTCGAAAAGAATAACACCCCACAGATCGGTCTAAATCCGAAAAAAAAAAAAAAAAAAAAAAAAAAAAAACCTATATAGTCCCCATACAGGACATTATGAGGATGCTCTTCAAAGGCAATGCTTGTTAGTAACTTGTCCATGATCACTATCTCCCTCGAGTTTCCCCCCCTCCCCAACATGTTATTACCACGGCTCCTTATGCAGTGAATAAAGGTCTGAAACACACTCTGCACAATGATTTCCTATGTCTTCCGAAACCTCCCTAAGATCTACCTTAAATCATCAAACTTTATTCGGGCCCGCCTTCCAAGAATAGATGGCTGTATTAATCTACCCTCAATACTTACCCCACCCTTCCGTATTGCGGGCTACCCCAGAATAACTCAGAGTCACCATGTCCTTTCCGTATCCGAAGAATGTTTCACGGCCGCAAAGAGTCATAGTTCGGGATCTCAATCCCGGAGTTCATAAAACGAAACCTGCATAAAGCCGAGTTTCACCTTTCGAAATCTATTCTGATAGGCTTTTAGCCCAGTATTATCTCGCAGTTTGCTGTACGTATCGCACCTACCCATGTCAGTCCGAGATACTTACCCGAATATGTACTGAATTTAAATTCAAACAGTTCCAGAGGACGTCTTGAGGACTCAGGAAACGGATAGATGCAATTCAAACTTTGAGGAAATTGAAACCTACCGAACCGGATAACGAGCTAAGTAACTATGCATAGTTAGGCCTACTATTCTCTGTTTTAAAGTGTCTATTCAAAAAGCCTATTGTTCCCATAAATACCTCCCACCGAAAGTAGCGTTTCGGGAACTCCGAAATCCTCCAATGCCGAGACCTTGACCCCTCAACCAAGCTCAACAGCGGTGAGAATGCGTGGCACAGAATAAGTACCAACCCGAGACAACTTTAACAGCTGCACATCCGGCACACGGCACAGCAATCTGCCCCGGGGGCGGTGGGCGCATTGGGCGCATTGTCCATAGGAGGTGGGAGGTGGGAGCGGGGCTCAGGTGACTTTTCCGTAAGCAAAATTGCATAATATTCGGACCGCTGCAGTAAAACGGCCAAATACGGGTAGGAACTTTGAAATTGAGGCTGTCCGGCCGCTCTTTCAGATAAGAAATAAGGCTGGCATTGTAAAGATAGAAAGACGGAACTAGTGGAGCAGTGACAATTTGAGACCGGGACGGGCGAAGGAGGGTGGTGCTTAAAAATACACAATGTATGAGAGATAGGAAATACTTGGGGGATGAAAGGACGAGGGTCGAAGCAAAAGAAAGTGAAAAAAAGAGAACCCGACGCGGGGATCGAACCCGCAACCTTCAGATTAGAAGTCTGACGCGCTACCATTGCGCCAGCCAGGCTTGGTTATGCTACTTTGGTAATATTACCACATATAAAAATAATTTAAAATGCTGTCGCTTGTATCGCGTTGAGATGTAGTGTTTGGTGCCCTAATTTCGAAATTCTGGAAGACTTCTTGTTTCAGTAAAAACGGCGAACTTTTCAAAAATCGAGTGAATTGTTATTTGAATCCTATGTCACGATCCATTCCTTTCCTTGCTTCCCCATCGCTGTCATCTTCACACAAAATCAACCTAACACCACATCTCCATCGCCATCACAACCTAACTTCAACCCCAAGCCCTAAACCACAGATCCACTAGCAACCAACCTCCAAGCCCAGGGAGCCCGCCGTCTGGCCGCTATCATCGGCCCCAAATTAGAGTTACTCTAGCAACCCCAATGATTTTCTTGAGCCCGGAGCAAATTCCAAAACCCTCCGAACCTTACTGTAACTTCACCCACCCACACCTCACCCGATTTTTCTTCGGCCCGAAACATCGGATGGTAGCTTTCCTCAGCCAAGGCACTATCTGATGGGAAAATTTGGGGATTGCAAACTTGGCCGATACTTATATACGCTCGCCGGTCTGTTTAGGCTTTTAGCGAATGAGGTCCCCAGGAGGACGGAGGTGGCACCGAGGGAAGGGAATTTGACAAAGCCCGAAGTGTGGAGGTGACAGCTCGAAATGGTGGTAAGAGGCGGTGGTAAGAAACTCGGAGACCTAGAAAACTCTACCGGGAATCGCATGATGGTAAATGACGGGCTTGTGAATATCTGACTGTTGCTTGACAAAGTCCGGCGGAGACTACAAGAGGCTTGACGAAATAAGATGCACCATAAGCCGCCGAGAAACTTATCAAAGCCGCCTCCAACCGCAACACCGGCCCGAACCAGAAAGAGCCAGCGGGATTAAGCACTACGATATGGTATACATATGTGGACCGGTAGAAGCCGCGATCCAAGCGGTGGCAATGTGATCTGTCACTTAGATAGAGTACCCGTACCGTCACTCGCCTGTACCATCATTCGCATCTCCCGCCGGTTCGCGTCTTGGACCTCGACAAGGTCCGACAAAGTCGTCAGGACCTCGTCAGTGCCACATCTCACCACGTTACTTATCGGCCCGAGAATCATAAAGGTGCTCACTCGGATGGACTTGCAAAGTGTTACAAAGCGTTTCCAACCCAACCGCCCACCAGTGACAACTCGGAAATCAACTTTCGGACTAGAGTGGCGAACCATGGGGGGCCAATTTTTTGTATGGCTGGATGGCTGAGTGTGAACCATGGTCCGTCGTCCCCATCGTTGATCGGGAACCATCTATCGGGAAGCTTCAAGCTTAACATAGTTAACACAGAGGGCCGTGCACGGTTGACTCAACTTTGGAAAGAGCTAGAGTGACTAAAAGCATATCTTAATTTATAGGGTCAATGCTGAAGCGCGGATTAAGCGAAGCGAGCGAGCTCAGCGAACCTAATGGCTGAGCTCCAGCTTTTGCTCAGACAACATAGATTCGAGAAAGGTAAGAGAGTGCGCAGTGATCTTAATCATGAGACTAGCTAGATAATCTCAGCTCTGATATCGGTTCCCATTCTCGGCTTTAGCAAGCGGGCGAGAAGGTGTGGCGAGATTATTCGACAGGACCTCCGTGGCAAAAAGACATAGAAGGCAGCGAATCGGTTGTGGTGCTTGTGCTACTTTACGGAAAGCTTGTGATACCGCTTAAAGCTGACGATGCTCGCTTGACAGCTAGCAACGGGGCTTTGAAACGGGGGTTTGAAAAGCCCTACCGAATCGACAAGATCGCCCGATATTTGAAATTTCCGGGGAAGGGCATCCGAAGGCCGGCTTTGTTGTTCGGACTTCGGTTGGGTGGCTGTTGATCGACTAACAAACAAATCGTTTATGGGTGGTCGAAAACATCCCTCCTGATTACGGGGTAAAGTGAAAAAAGTAATCAAACGCTTGTCGCTGACAAGACCCGATGGATAGAATGTTGCAGTTGAACTTCTGAAAAGGTCAAACAGGGTCAAGTGGGTTTGATTTTCCTTAAGATCCATGGTAAGCAACCGGATAAACCCGCTGACGGCCTGACGGGTTGTGTCACAGTGATCTTCTCCGGAGAAAAAAACAAGAGAGCGGTAAAATTATGTCTAGCATAAGCGGGAAGTATTATGACGATGAGTCGAGTCGACTCGTCTATAACCATTCGTATTGCTTAACCCCATAGAAAATAATGCGGTCCGCCAGCGCTTTTCAAAACAGCAATAAAGAAAGATGCTGAATGAAGCTCGGGGCTCAAGAGCAGTGAGCGACAACCGTTGTAGATGATGTTCCAGAATGACTCCCTAACCGTGGCGCCGGATGGATTTCCATCTTCATCAAATCCATCTTACTTTTTCCAGTATCGTTGGTACTTACAACCCTGGTACGTCATCCACCAGTCCATCCCTCATCAGCGCCATCCAACGCGGCGCAGCACGACGCGTCGAAGAGTCATAGAAGGTGGTTAAGTTCGACACGACATGGTACCTGCGTCTCACTACTCGCCCCGTGGCAAACGAGTTGGGGGATTAAGAATTCCATTAATTTGTATTTCCGGCCCCATTAACGCGTCAAAAACGTTGAATTTGTTAGACAGATGGTCGAAAAGTCGCGACCGTGGGCACGCGCGCGTGTTGTTGCGACACGGACCCCTGTAGCGTGTGTGACTTTGCATCTGAGCTTCCCCTCCTTCTCTACCACAAAAACACCCCTCCTCCGCTTCCATTTACCGCAACGATATTTCAACTGCATTCTTCGCCGTTACTTAGCAGACAACGCACAGCTATTCCCTCGCACCCAAACCGCAACGCTGCAGCACAAATATCAAACCACCACACACACGCTTTCAAACGGACGGAGAAGCAAACTCTACGAATGTCTACCATTAATACCCCAATCACCCCACCACCCTCTCGTGGGGTTACACCTCTACCTCCACCTCCATCTCAACCATCTTCAAGACGCACCGCCTTTAATCCGAACCGCCCCAAAGCCACCTTGCAACGCCAAAATCGGCATCTCTCCGAACTGTATTTAGGAGACAATTTCCTGACTCTTCGAGAATTCGAGTCTAATAAAGGCAGCTTGGACTCCAACCAGACTACCGATGAGAGCCAGAATAGTGCTGGAGAACGCGCTGCTGCGGGGTCACAGTAGTTCTATATGGGGCGGACGAAATGTGTAAGGCGAGGGGTTGTACGACTGGCCTAAGGAATGGAGAGGGAGGTACGGTGTCGGGTGGCGCGTGGCGTATAAACAGGACGTTGTCACGGCAACGTACGGGCTGCATTTTTGCTAAAGTTGGGGAGTTCGCGGTGTTTTTGTTGGGCGTTTGTACAGAAAGGAGTTTTTACACGGTCAAATCATTTCATCTAAAGGCGTTTATTTTTTTTGGGGGGGGGGGGAGGGGGAGGCTGGTACGGGTTTCTTGGGCGCTGGTTTTAACTGGCCTTATGTACTGCTTTTCTGCATCTGTTTGTTTTATGGTTGGGTTGGTTGTACGATATCATCGGGATTACTTTACTTGGGGGAGAATATACAATGAGCCGAGAAATGCGAAATGAGCGTGGCGCGTGAGCATGTGAGCAACACGCCAATGATTAAACGAACACGGGATCACGCATTATGACCAGCGCCAGTGGACGGGACGCATTTTTCCGGGTGAGAGTGCATGATTGCCCGATCGTGGAGCCCGACCGTGGAGCCCGGGTACGTGAGAGAGCTCTTGCACGGAGCTTTTGTATCCACGGATTGACAGAACTCCACCATCCTCCGCTTTTATGACTTTTCTGTTATTTATCAGGAGTCACAGTTTCCAGTCAAAAGACAACATCTTTTCTCTTTTCAATCTTTTGCTTTGATGGCACACCGAGCGCTTTCCATTTTCTCGGGGGCCTGGAGAGCCAACTACGGCAACTTCTTCAACCCGACCCGTCATGTACCCCACCTACTCAGAATGTCAAAGCCGACCCGTCTTGATGACACTGTGAGCTCGTATGATTCGCCGGAGACCCGCCCGCACCGGATGTCTGCCACGGAATCTTTTCCACCGAACAGAGAGACGCCAAGGACGGCGGGTTCTCCAGACCAGCCTCTCTAGGCTCCCGATTAGTTGTACATATGTACGTACCACCTCACACCCGATCATTCGCCGGTTGGATAGCAGAAAGAGAAAGTGGAGAAACCGTAACGGAGTACTCAACAGCCAGCCATCGGGCCAGGCTTGTCCACCGAAAATCAAGAGCTCAAGAGCAGAGCCAGCCTCCGCTTTTTGTCTCAGGACTTATGGTTAGCCAAAGGCAAGGCTGCTGCGTTGCGTTGCCGCTGACCTTTCGTCCAAGCAGCCGCCGACCGTGCCACCGCCGCACAGCAAGCAAAAGCGGTCGTATTTCCATCTGTACCAGTCTCCGACACAGACGTTGACCGGGTCTTTCGGCTTTTGACACGCCGGCTTTGGGTGGTTATTAGTTCGGTACTTCTGTGGAAATCATTCAATCTCGCTTGACAGACAGGCATTTTCGATCGATGCACAACAAATATCGTGGATGTGCACTTTTGTTTCGGCCGCGAGGTTACGGCAACGCTGACTTCCCTGAGACAGGTAAATATTTCCCAGATAACTATACATGCTGGCAAATGCCGAAATTTGCGCAGGATGCAAAGCAAAGGAAGGAAGATAAGCCGAGGAGAGATGGCGGATGGCTATGAAACCGGAATCGAACATGGATAACTCGGCATCAAGTAAGCGACGGGCTCCCCGGTTGATAATCGCGATTACGTCTACGGTATCGGCGTGGACCTCCGAGCGTAAGAGTAGCCCCCGTAGCGGACCCGTGTGAAACCGACCAGGCAAGGCGAACTGACTGGAGGAGTCCGGGCGAGGCAGCGAACGATGAGCACGAATTTTCAAATCGGTGATTTTTATGTAAACTACCCGTCGTAAAGGCCGGGGGCTACGGGTGAGCCCAGGGA